GCAGCCATTCATGCAACCTTAGCAGGTGGATTGCATGTTAATGACAAGTTAATCGCCCATCGTTGGTGTTGTGATGCAGGTAATAAAAACGGAATGTGTTCATCTACTGTGCAACACATATTCTGTACTTCCTATCTACTTCTAAGATCTACGTATAGAATGGGCGTTATGGCCGAAACCAGCACGCCTTCCGCAACTCTGAGGGGTGCAGATTTCGCTAGGTTACTCTGTCTATTATGATTCGACCACTACCGCGCAATATGAGCAGCTCATCAATTAACTAATTCCATCCCGTTATGATGTGCGCCTGGCGAAGCCAGGCCAGCTCGGCGAAGCCGAGCTAAAAAGAAGGAGGAGAGCTCGGCGTCAGCCGGGCGATCCGACTGGTTGTTCAAATATAGCAGGTGTTGAAGGTTTATTGTGTAGCCGTGTTGAGCGGTTATAACTGATAGATACTGACATGGGTATGTACTAACGTGATATTATAACGCGAGATTAACATGTGATATTATCGTAACATTCGTGAATACGTGCAGTAAGGGTTATGTGGTGATAATAGATCGTGTTTTATATTCCTGTAATTACAAGAGTTGTGCCTATATTGGCTATAGCATACTGACGAGTATATGTGATTTACATATTAGTTAACAAGTAATGAGCAGTTAACAATGCGAGTAATATGATTCAATGAGCATAACTGGCATACATAGATGAGATGCGGAATGCTTTTCTGCGCGAGACCGTGTGACAGCATATGAATCGTGTGATATGTGCTACTGAGACCACAGTAAATGAGCAATGATGAGAAGATTGATTATTATATACATACATGTGAACCAGAACGAGTCAAAACGAGGGGGAAGTAGAGATGGGGAGAGGTGTCGGTGCCACATAATTTTGAAACCCTCCCAATGATCTCCAGCGCCCAGCCTGCATGACATGAACTTGGTGAGCTCCCATACTGAGCGCTTGTGTGGCTGCCCCCCCCCCTCTGAAAGAGTGTGACGTTATTCTGATTAGATGATCAAACCACAGCCAAGATTTTAACAACTTTATCACTGGTCCGTCTTGGACCTATTGATACGCACCTGCCACTCCCTCTTTCCCACGTGCTTAACCTCTGACCTGCGCAAGTTCTGTGCCTCGCTGATCCTAAGAAGCCCCTTGAACTGAATAAGGGCCAACGCTGCCGCTTGTATGACTTTGGGATCGCTATCTAAGAGCCCCACATTTATTATCTTTGCCATGTGGATAGGCTGGATCTTAGTGCGGTGTTGGGGCGGGGGTTGCGTGCGCTTGACCGCCTCTAGCAGAGAACCTTGAATCTCTTTGTCTACGCCTTGTAGCGGCCCGCAGAAGTAGTTCAATGCTGCTACTACTGTTGGCATCGAGCTATGTCTCCCTTCCGCCGAGCATTTGGCTAGATAAAGGTTCCTAGCTTGCGGTAAGGGAATTCTGCGCATGTGAGGACTGCTCTTCCATGCCTTGAATCTCTGCACTTCTGCTGTGTAGACCTTGATTGTTGATGGCGCTCTATCAGCATTGATTGCATTAATAATGGCTTGACTGACATGGGGCAGTCCGATCTGTTCCGCCTTGACCCCCAAGAAGGCTGCTTCCTTGAACCGCTGAGCTGCAACAAAATAAGCAAGTCTTAGGATTACAGGGTGGGCGGGTGGGCACCGCTCACGGTCTTCACAATAGCCTGGAATGGCTCCTCATCCTTGCTACCAGGGATCACATGTCTTGTGTATCAAAGACCACGCTTACGAAATAGCGTGGTCCGTTGTTGTTGTGAACATCATGTGATCCCTGGTACCCTATACAGTAACGATTTCGCAATAGTTCAAAATACCACTTATACCTCCGTAAACTCTGGTATAAATACCATTTTGAACTATTGTTCAAACCAACCAACAGGTGTGGAATCGCAAAGCCGGGGGACAAGTTCACGTGGCTGAACTGCGTACCTGTTGTCCGAAGTCAATCAATAAAAAAACGAAGGGCGACAGAGAGAATTCTGACCCGAACGCCCCCGGCGCTTGCGGATCTTTGAACAATTTCGTACCCACTGGAAAAATTACGCTGTCCACAACGAAGTCCGCCCATTGCGATTGGCCTGTCCTAATCGTTGGGTAATATGGCTGCGATTCCCACAGAGGACAACCAATGATACCTCTTGATCCATATATTTTTGCCCATTTAATTGTTTTGTAATCATATTGATCGGTGGAACTAACCATAAAAGTCCGTCTCTCCATGCGTTGACTTGTTCAAACGCGTCTGTTCCTGAGGATCCAGGGCACTGATATCTGGAAAAAAAATTTTCGCAGCGTGCATTTCTGTCGTTAGCAAACATGTCACATCGGGGTTCTCCCCATTTGCGGGAAATTGCTCTGAATATATGATCTGCTATTCTCCAGTCATCGTAATCAATCTGTCGACTAGCCCAATCTGCCGTATGATTAAGTGCCCTAGGAATCCACCTTACTAACGTGAGTATATTGCAGTTTCTTTCTAACTCCCAGATATTCGCAGCCAGTCGGTGAAGGTCTAAACCTAAACTTCCCTTGTTATAAATAGCTACGGCACTTTGGCTATCCGTGTGAACCAAAACCTGATTTATAGAGTTTTTGTACGTATCTAATGCAAAATGTATTGCAAAAAGCTCCCTAGCCGTGCTGGATTCTCCTATGAGCTTTGGTGGCAGCTCTCTGAACGTATGGGACATCGCATATCCCCTGCTATCTCGAAGTACAGCTCCAACAGAGTGCTCTGATGCATCTACATCTATTATGTGTGAAAAGGCCCTGTCCTCCACCCCAGGTCTGAGGGATAACTGGGGGCTATTTTGCAATTCATGTGCCCAGTAGTGTAGCTCGAGGCGTTCCTCATTGGTTTTGAACCACTTCTTGGACAGCGGCCATCCCTGCGATTGAGCTGCCGCTATTTCACGACATACGGCCCTAGTGTTGCGTTTGTCCCTCATTTTCAAGACCACATGCAAGGAAGACAGCGTTCCGGCCCAACGTAATCTATCATGTAATGATGGACTCGGTAATCCGCTTATGATTTCTAGTCTATGTCTAGCCTTGGATAGTCTCTCAGGAGCTACAGAAATGAACATAGAAGACAAGTTAATATGAAAACCTAACCATTCACAGGTTTGGGAAGGGTTCCAGTGGCACTTGTCCTCAGCAAAGTACCATCCTGCACGCTTGAGATCGTCCCTGATAATGGAAACTGTTTCTGCACATGCCTCTCTAGACCTTTCGAAACATTGCCGTCATCGATGTAAATAGCAATTCCTCTTCCCTGAGCTCTCCACAGTTTGATGAAAGTGCGGAAGCAATTTCGTAAAGATATGGGGTGCGGAAGACAATCCAAAAGGCAAGCATAAAAATTTGTAATTTCTGCCATCCCATCTGAATCCCAAGAAGTTGGTATGACTTTCCTCAATTCGCACATGGTGATATCCCGCTTTGAGATCAAAAGTAGCCATGAACCCTCCCTCAGGCAAAACATCGATAACGCTACTCATGTCATCGAACTTCACTCTAGGTACATGTAGGAACTTATTTAAGTGAGATAAGTCCAAAACCAATCTGAGTTTTTTACCTTTGGCCACAGATAAAGGATGAATATGCAGAATATCGTGTGGATCGCTGTCGACTTCGCGTATTACTCCAGTCGAGAGGAGCTCTGCAATTTCTCTGGTTACGAAATCTTTGTGCATGAGAGCCGACTTTCTGTTGCCCGAATCCACTGGCTTGGACGGGACTGACAAAAAGGGCAACGAGTACCCATTAAGCACAGTGGTCGAGACCAGCTTAGACGGCTCGAGAGCCAACCATTCCAGATAGAAATTATGAATAGAACCTGGTAAAAACTCACTATTGGTTATCTGGACATTCCTTGACCCAGTGGCCCTCTCTTCCACAGCGATTACATGTCGATCTCCTTCTGTTTTCCTCTTCTTTGGAGAAGTAACGGAAGCCCTCTAGTAAAACGCGTGGACGGTACGTCACGCCTTGAATAATAGGGCTTGCGATCCGACGAGGATTTGTCCCAGCTGGGCGTAAAGTCGTTCGGTGGGCGAGAAACGAAGGAAACAGGGCGCCACGCTGTTTCCCTCCCACGAAAGGGAGTGGGAGAAGATTTCCGTTTCCTACTTTCCTGCTCCTTCTTCCTCACCGAATCCATGAATTCGCTAAGCCTGGGGTCCATTGACTTAAGCGAGTCAGATTTCGTCTTACTGTCCAGGAACTGAAACACCTGTGGATGGGAATCCGCGATTTTCAGAGTTCATTCCTGACAGTGAGGTCCTGTATTACCTCAGTTATAATCGCATTACTCTCAGTGGACTTCGGTAACGATGCTAACTTCCTGATAATGGCACTGTTAAAATCAAACTGACGTCCGAATCCCTCTCGCTTGAATGAATGCGTTGTAGTAGGCGCTTGAGAAGTAGACGGCGTATCAGCTTTAACCGCTTCAATAATAGATTGAATATCTCGTGGGTCTAGACGAATTACGGTTTCTAGCAACTCCTCCTCGAAGACTTGTTCTTGTGGCTGTTGGTTCGGAGGCGGCTGCTCCATTAGTTCGTGTAGAGGAATATCAGCGTCGTCCGGCATATCTGGCGCGATGAATATCTGTCGAAAACCAGAGGGCGAAAGACCAACCGCTCACGGTCTTCACAATAGCCTGGAATGGCTCCTCATCCTTGCTACCAGGGATCACATGTCTTGTGTATCAAAGACCACGCTTACGAAATAGCGTGGTCCGTTGTTGTTGTGAACATCATGTGATCCCTGGTACCCTATACAGTAACGATTTCGCAATAGTTCAAAATACCACTTACCTTCTTGTCGGCGTGCGATGGCGACGCAATCGCAGATCGACTCATAGGCCCTTCAGCTACGATCTGCTCGTAATCATCGTGAAATAAAGCTGCTCTCCTTATTCTGTATGATCCACAGCAACACACTTACTGGTAACTAACGACGGCCCGTGACTTTGATGTCGATCTACTAGCACAGTACTATTTCCTCATTTCTATAATTTTTTGCGAATGCGTACACTCAAAATCCTTGAGATGGGGTGGGCGTGGACTGCGCACCTAGTATAAGTTTATTATCGTGTGCATAAGGCATACGTGAGAAAAAAGATCGTAACACATTACGTATACAAGTTCCAGTATTGATATATTAGTTACAATTTTTCGAAAACAGTAATTAACCAGCAAAACACCAACTTATCGACCAGTCTCAAGAGAGCTAGACCCACCATACCTTAATAACCTTTTGGAAATACGGTGTCTGAACTGAGCATGTGACAAAGTGGCAGGTATGGCTTTTGTTAACTTCAAATACGCGCTGCCCGCCCTGAAGGTGAAGCTCTTGGCACGTAAATTAGTCTTGGGTTTTGACAAATAGATCTTCATGGGACCACCTCTAGTGTTCGAATGAACCATTCTGAAGACATTACTGGAACCAGACCCACGCGATCTTTTAATAAGCTTGTGAACTAGACAAAGATCGAAAACATTCCGTCTGGACTCCAGAGATGATAACCGTAGGAGTTTATTCCTGTTTGGGGCATTCGGCATTTCTGACTAGACCTTTGTCTACTCAGAAATGAGATTGATCAGAACTAGTAAGTTTTTACTAGTTCTAGTCGTTAGTTTATGAGTGAAGCTATTTTGTACCCTCTCAAGTGCGTAAATGTGCTTCTTTTTCGTAGGGCTGAATACCGTAGTGCTAGCTTCTACTAAGGGTCTAACATAGGTCTTATAGGCACGCAATAATACTTGTGGGTTTGTAGTGGATAGCCCTTTGAAAATGTGATATATACGTGAGTGAGCTGCTAGTACCCTCCTTTTGATATGCTCCGAAAAATCTAATCTATCAGTGTAGTAGAAACCGAGATCTCTGACAGACTGGGTAGCGAGCAGAGCACATCGTTGTTGGGGAATCCCCAACAGGGGGGGGGGTCGTATTTGATCATTTTTGGGAGGGGGGTCGTATTTACGTTTTGGCGTTGTGGGAGTGGCGGTTGACTTTTGGTGATTTTCCTGTTTCACGTACTATATGCCCCCCCCCGCTCGACAGCAAAATTTTTGGTAAAAAGTACTATATGCCCCCCCCGCTCGACGGCTCGATTCGATGAGGAAGGACAGAGGGCTGGGGGGGGGTCGTACGGGCTCGACCAAAATCTCCAACTAATGCTGTGCCCTGGTAGCGAGAGTGGAACCCCATCTACAGTATACGCGGACGATGGTTGGACGTTTCCGGAGCTAAGTTTCATGTAAACTGTTTTCTGTGGAGCTATAGGCAACTGCCATTTCTTGGACCAGTCGACTGTTACATCTATGGCCTTTTGCACGACCAGTAGTCCGTATAATGTGGGATCCTGCTATAAATTTTCAAGTCGTTAGCATATACTCTAGCTATGGCTTCTCTCTGAGCATACCAGGAAGTGGACGTGGCAAAGGCTAAGTTTTTTGGTATGCATTTTAATTTGGGAACAGCTGTCATGTCTTCGTTCAACACAGAGCAAGATGACAGTTGCCTCAAATTGAAATATCCTACGAGCGACCCAACCTACGTTTGCCACGTTAGAATGCCACGCCTACTCCGACTCAGGGATAGGTACGTTACTTGCAAACAACACAAGGTTCACTGAAAAACGCATCCGTTCCCGCGGGGACCACAGAATCCCATCGGCTGACTGCCATATTATAAGTTGTTCTTAGAATTTTCAAGCGCCGAAGCTTACATTTTCAAGGTGACTGTTGGCTGCGCACTATTTCTTCATCTCACTACTTGGCTTTGCCATTAAAATAAGATTTCACTCCAGCACAGGCGACCTGATAGTACCGAATAATCTTTGTACCATACTTCACCTGTCACATTTTGCACATCTGGAAACTGCCAACGGCGACTGATCCTTGCATTCATTTTACCCCGACGGCAGCCATTCCGGGCCAAATACGGACTGCGTAGTGCATCTCTTATGTCAAATGCGTCGCGATTCTCCACAGCCTAACTCAAAACTACTCAAGGCTAGAACAACGGCGATAGAATGGTGCCATCACAAGAATATGGTTACCGAGCTGTCCTTTTATCCATAAAAACCCGGGAAAATCATGGTAGAGGCCACAAACACTCATCAAACCACCAGCGCATGCGCCGCGTTTAAACGGTGCTCTCGACCCACTTTCACAAGTTCATTTCCATACATGTTTATTTACAAAACACAGAACTACGTATACATATTCACACAATAGCCACCCATCTACTGTTGCATAAGACATACTTTATTTATAAGATGGGATCATTTAAAATGACGAGTAAGTTTCCTTAGCACAACTATTCGGAAATCACGAAATCGTGGAGGCGACTGTTGGATTCGCAGAAGGCGTGACCGACGACGGACTTCATTCTGCCAAATTCGATCCCTGAAATAATCCACCAACTTTTCGAAAAGCTTTCAAATAAACACAAGAAATCTGGAGAATTTGCGAATTGACAGAATCAGAAATTCGCTGATTACATAGCACACAAATGCGCTTTCTTTTGAAAGAACAGCTGAGATAGCTAGCAGGCAACTGGTGAAAAAAATTAAACTAAAGGTGTTGCTGACGAGTTTAAGGCATAATATATGAACAATTTTCTCCAACCCATCCCCCCCCCCACAACAGTAAACTCCCAGTGAGTGGTCAGATATTTCGTGATAACACGGACAGGTAAAAAAACTAGTTTGTTACAGCAAGAAGCAAATCAGTAGTAAAACACTTGTTACTTGCTCAATTGCTGAAAACGTGAAGTGAGACTTTCATCGATTATTCAACGTTTTTCATTATGCTACAGAGTCATACCTTCTTAAAATTTGCTTCTCCTCCTTCTCCAGCTTCTCGTGGCGTTTGGCATATATTTCAAGGTCGACACGTTCATCAGTGAGCCGCGGTTGACATCGCAGTGCGGTTAGATGCCCCACCTGAACACCAGCACAGTGACTGAAACACGCGCATGACGAACGGTTTCTCAAAATTGAAGAACAAAATACAATTCGTTGATGACAAATAACAGAGGGACATCTGCGTTAAAACTCAAAGTGCGGAGTAAGAGGTGCCAACATAACCCTGTGCTCCATTTACCAATCTCGCCTTTCGTGCGAGGCAATCTCAATGAGCGATCAGCCTTACCAGTTAGTTTTAATATGAAAACCACGAGGACTGAAATCGAATACGATGGAAAAAAGACAAATGAACTCATCAAAACATTCCACGTAAACTCCACTGTTTCATGAAAGTCAAAAAAAATTTTACTTTTTCTTCTTTTCACCTATCGTTGTCTCGACTGCCTACACTTTTAAAGGCACATCATCGTTGTGTGTTCCCCAACAGAGGGTCGTATTTGGTGGAGGGCGAATCTGGCCCAGAGAAAATGTCTTAACAGCTGTTTTTTTTCTCATTTCAAAGACGCTATAAAGAAGAGTTGTATTTGCTAGTTGTTTGGAGGGGTGTCGTATTTGCATCTGGACCTTTGAGAGAGGTTGTTGACTTTCCACGGTTTTTCCCCTTCCTTATGTCTTATATACCCTCCCCCTTACCACGCTAAACAGCTTGATACACTGGAAACTAGGATGGATCATATTAAGTCACTTTTAGAGGGAGGTCATATGGACTTGACAAAAATCCCCAACTGATGATGTACCCTGTCAATTTTCCAAGTAGATACAACAGAAAACATTAAAAACCTGCACAACATACAAGAAAGAAAAGCAAAAGTATACTTCAGTCAAAAATACATACCATTCTAACTTCTGGTAATTGTAACTCTTTGCCATTGACGGACTTCTCTGTTGTATTTTGCTCATCCTGCAATACAAAAATATACGCCACAACCATACGGTAACCTGAATCTGCACTTCGCAACAGAAAAGCGCCTATCAACTAGTCTTCACTTTATTCTGCGGAAAATTTGGTGCTACCTCAAGTAAAGGGACAAGACGGCACTGCCGCGACTAGGTCTGCTCTGCGAGACTGGTCCACGAGAAGCATTAGTCTCCTGTTCTCCGTCAGAGTTTCGCGAAAAATCGACTGGACGGTTCGACCCTCTCATAGAAGGATAGATAGTGCCCGTAAGCCCAGTATCTGCGGTTCCGTCGCGTGCTATGAAAGAAGTTTTGCAAGGCCCACTGCACTTCTTCTAGGCCTCTGTCCTCCCCAAAAGGTATAACATCATCCGCAAACGATGCTTTGCCGAAGCGTGAGCAGAATTTGCAGTTTTTGTGAAGGGCCCATATAAGATGCATTGAAGCTATCGCATAGCTTGCATAGCCGCTACACACCAGGAATAACGCGGAAAACTCTTGGCAAACTCGAGCTGTTCACCGTTCAATGAACATAACTTTGTGCAGACATCATGTAAAGCGGGAAGCCATATGCTTATGAAAACAGATCTCCTTCTCTATATTTTCCCCGAAAGTTCACTTCAGCTGCAGCTAAAGGGTTCCCAACAATACAGACGAAATTTTCATCCAGATCCCTCCGAAGACTTTTAGTACACCTCATTTCACTTGAGATAAATGAATCGGAGCTTACAAGGCGCTGATAAATTTCTCTATGAAATGCGCCGCGCATACGTCTTCCTTTCGGAACCGCAGCGACGTAGAAATATGGATCTATGGAATATGGGCTTGACACGGACCACACAACTTATGGGCCAGCCGAGGGATTCTTTCCGCACTTAGAGGAAAGTGATTTGTACTGTGTTGTAGTACAGTGAATTAATCCGTCATGAACAGTGTTGAGCAGTGTTTTGCTAGTGTTGCTTTTGCTCTGTTCATAATGGACACGTGCACATATAATAACCACGTCGCGGATCCCGCGAAGTAAGCTTGACCCTGCTCTCTGAGCCTGGACCTAGCTAAAGAAGATATACAGACACACTTCTGCGTCCCTCGACTCACTTCGTTTAGCCACAGTAAATTTTTGTCTAACGTTCATGATAAGCAGAGGGCTTTTGCATTCAAACATTCTACGATTAACACTTTTGTTTTTTAATAAATATGCGCCCCACAAGAAAAAGTTGGGGAAAAAAACAAACTGACCCCATTCACAAGAGGGTTGATGGCATTTTTTGTGATCAAGGCGACAGTACACTGGTTTTCTTTCTGACCTGGCGAAGACACCTTTCGCTTACGTCCTAGAAACTTCGCCTTTCCTTCGGCCTGAAAGCATGAATAGTTGGAATGACGAATTCACTATTTATGAGACCTACTGCTACGAGGCACATGGGCGTTAAGTTTTATGAGCGATGTTTCATTAATTTTTTGGAGACCCGCGACAAAGTAATGGTTTTTTTCTGGTAACTTCAGCTCTTTAAGGTTCACTCATAATTCCCCTTCATCTATTGAATATTCTCAACCTTAAAATCCTTCCAGCCATACGTTATGGATTAGAGATAACTCTGAGCGGTTTTACATTGCTGTGAATGTTTTCACTTACATACATAAGGATCCACATCACATGCCATTCAAATCAAAACTTACTATGGTTTTTGATGATCGTTTTTCGATGAGAACTTCTTTCGTCATCGTTACAATGGTCAACAGCAATCTTGTCGCCAAATCGACGTGGTCTCGGTGCTGGAGATGCTGCTGACTTTCTTTTGTTCGAAGAAGTCATCCTCAGCTTCAAAAGCCTCCAATAGAATAATTTAGTACCAGTGTAGCGAACACGTTATGAGAACAGAAAGAACTTTAACAAAAACGAAAAAAATAATGTAACAGCACCAGTGGGGCGACACTGAGATCAAATCGAAATCTATCCGTCAAACAACTGTTAACTGTAATGCAATACATTTTGCATTTCCAAACCAGGGCACAACCTTCTCTTCTTTTCTCTAGTTGGCTACTAGTGCAACATTTCCAACTCATGGAAATGACCGAATGCACCATGCTATGATATAACGAGTGTAACGATCAAAACTGCCTTAAACCCCGTAGAAAATAAAGAAATTGCAACGTCACAAGGCTCAACAGCTTCTCACGGGTACAGTGGGCGTGAAATGAGGTGTTTGTATGCAGGCTGCGAATCTTGCCTTATAGAAGACGCCAGAGGGCTGCCGGGGAAGGGCTGTCACGGCCGACGCCTTCGAATTGGATTCCAGTAATTGTGCACTTGCCATGGGGTCATTTTATGGTCCGTGCTATTCCTGCTATTCCCTTTTTTCACCATAAGCGCTTCAAATTGGGCAGGGCACATCATCGTAGGAGATTTCCCCGAGCGGGGTGAATGGTCGTACATGACCGTTCAGGTGGGGAAGAGCCGTAATGAAAGCGCCAGTCAGCACTAAACAGCGCGAAGGTGTCAGCAGCACCAAAAAAAGTGTCAGCAGCACTAAAAGATCAAAATGATCAACTAACAGTATTAATAAGTTGACATAAGTTCGCAAGTACGTGGATGACTGAGCAGTACAACCTAGAAAAGTCCTTCGGTTGGGCCGTGGACCTTTCTGAACCCTATAAACACTACTGATTTCGTGGACAGACTTCATGTAGAAGCTGCACCATCCCACCACTTCTGCGTCAGTCCACGGCGCACCAATGGATGAAGCTAATGAGCGCTAAACCACCAACTGCCTAGTTCTGTTCCACGAGGGATCCCTTCCAGAAGTACTCTTGAGTGTTCAAATACGCCC